GCATCAGGAAAACCAGGTCCTGTCCAGGCTCTACCACCAACCACCTGTGCACCCTTGAAGCCTGTTTCTTCATCTATAAAGTCAAGAGTTGGAGCATAATAAATAGTCAGCTCCCTTTTAGCTCTCAAAAAACTATATTAGGCAGAGTAATACTATGTTTCTGTAACAAATAAAGCCCAAAGCCTCAGTAACTCAACCCAACAAACTCATGCCAAGTCCCCTACTGATCATCAGAAACTCTCCTCCAACTGGCATCTTAGGGACCGTCCCTCCAACTAGTGATGCCACGTCTCCATGCAAAGCGTCCTCAGGTGCCACAGCAGGTGAAGAGAGAAGCACACAGCCTTTACGGCCACGGGCTGGAAGTAGCAGGGGCACCTCCTCACGCCATCAGTTTGCTGGACCTAGTCGCACAGCTGCAACCTCACCACGGGCAACACTGGGAAAGAAGCAGGAGCACAGGGGCTATTTATCTCTGCCACACAGGTGACATTCTATTGACTTATTTTAATAATTTAGTGTCATTTATTTACTTATCTGAACAGATAGTAAGAGAATACCATGATGTGCTACCTTGCAGAACTGAAGAAAACTTCTTAAGATTAAGACGGCCAGATACAAAGAAAGATAGAGAAAAGGGAACATGAACTTTGAGGATGAAAATCAAACCACATGCCCCAAACCCAAGTAGATACAGTCTGTGAGGTACCTGGGGGCAGGGAAAATGTTCAGTTTGGAAGCTGTGCTCTCCAGGAGTTAGCACAGGAGAATGGTGCGCTCATTTCCATGCCAGGCCTCCTGTATCCAAGTCACACAGGAAGCCCCTGGAGTCCCACAGAGAGAAAAGCACATCTACCCACTCCCAGCCCTGATCACACTGAACTCTGATGAACCGCCAGCTAATCTGCACATGGCCTAGGAAGCTGTCTTTTGCATTTCTTCCTCCAGTCAAGTTCATTCCCATGAACAATGTTATCAAAAATCCACTTGGCCAAAAGCCGCGTAAGTATACCTAGTGTGGTACAAATGTTACACTCAACCTGGAAGACATAAAGTGATTTGGTAAGCCTTCTGAACATCGTGGACTTAAATGTGGCATATAGACCTAGTTATTTTTTTCTACTGCATGAAGATTTCTCAAGAATTTTATAACTGAGAGAAAAAAGGGATAGAGAGAACTCATATGACATTGATGATAAATCTCATTAGTTGGAAAGCACAACACTGAAGACAAAGTTGGAAATACTGTGTTTTTATACTAAGATATTTTTCTCATTGCATCTTGTTAGATATTTAATATGGCTAGATCTGTTTACTGTCTTAATAGGACCACTACTAGAAGCAGACAGGGCAATCAAAGCAAATAAAAATGTAGAAACCTGAAAATTCGTGGACAGGTATGTTCTCAGTGGGATTGTGGGACCTCAAACAGATCTGCAGCAGAGAGAGCATTGCAAGGGATGCCTTGCACCCAAAGGCTCTTCTACAGAGGTACAGAGAAAGTCAGGGCAGAGCTACCAGAAATCCCAGATTTCCTGCAGGTAACACAGCACTGAGGTATAGCAATGATCCAGCCATTCTTGGAATTGTTCTGACTTATGAGACTCAGAGAGTTGGTAACCAGCCTGAGGTAACCTGTGAGAGATGCACTCGTGCCCCATCTGTCTGACCCCGAAGCCTGCTCTGTGTACATGCTGTACACCAGGAGAGCTTCCCACCTCTGCATGCTCCCCAGCATCCTCACACAGCCCTGACTTGTAAGCAAGTTACTATGTGGCATCTGGGTTCCAGATGACAGAGTAAGCAAACACTTAATGGCCTCTCCTCCCTCCCAAGGCTTTTAAAATGACAGCAAAGAAATAAAAGCATAATTAATTCATAACAGTGAAGAGAAAAGGAGGAGGGTAATCAGCCACCTACTGATTTCAGTAAAGTTCTGAAAAAGAGGGAGTGGGAACAGCAAACAGTATTTTCAATCATCGTTATATAAGGGCTGCTTATTGGTTTTCAACATTTAGAATCAACCTATGAACAAAACAAGACAGACTCAAATATGTTCTCCCAACAGCATGTGACTCTCCAAGTGTGAATATGTAACAGCAGCGGTACCTAAGGGAGAGACAGAGCAGGCAGAAAGGGGACAGACATAAGACTGTTCTTACAAGTGGGGACACCACTTGCACATCGCATCGCGAGAACCAAGAAAGGATGGCAAATATTGGCAGAATAGGACTCACAGGGTTCCTATTGTTTAAGTGTAAAGCATGACGTATAGAAAACCAAGCTGAAAATAATAATGAAATGATTAGGAAACAAAAGACAAGGGTAGTAGAGGTAAGTCTAATGAGGGAGCTAAGTCTCCATCATTCAGAGCAAATAACTCAAAGAATGTCTAAAATTGACATATTGAGATACAGCAACAAAAGGACATGTTTAGATTTATGAAGGGCATGCCAGGAGGCCTTAAGGATGAAGAACAGAACTGACTGAACACGTAGCAGGGGACTCAGCCTTTTCATTATAAGGTCTTAAGACCTGAAGAAAAACAAAAAATTAACCAAGTATAAAATGAACTTTCCTATGTATTTACTTGATTAGTCTAGATCAGTGGTTCTCAACCTTCCTATTGCCTCCTAACGCCATGACCCTTTAATACAGTTCCTCATATTGTGGTGACCCCCAACCACATAATTATTTTCCTTGCTACTTCATAACTGTAATTTTGCTACTGATATGCAGGATGTATTTTCATTGTTACAAAGGGGTCACAACCCATAGGTTGAGAACACTGGTCTAGACGAAAGTCCAAGCCCCGGGAGGATGGGTCAAAATGTCTTTTGTCCCCCAGCCTCCTACATCCATAGTGTTCATGCTGTTGTGTGTCTTGGAGAAACGCAACCAATACTCACTCTACTGAATTGGTAAATAAGTCCCCACCTCCACCAGCTGGTATTATTTTCAGGCACATCAGTCCTCTGTACATATATATAGTCCCACTGTACACATAGCTTTCATGGGATTAAACATCCAATGACTCACATCTCTAGTTCTGGGAAGGCATCCTATCAAATATGGAGTCAACAGAATCACTCTCCATAGGAAGATCCGTGACTACCCTGCATGCAGCAGCTGACACATATCCACACAAACTGTGATGTGCCTGTGCCCACTGTGAGCTGCAGTGGGCAGTAAGGGGCAGCAGCGGTCCTGAATGTGTGGGTGCTACACATCTGCCCGGGGGGCCTTCTCCACCCACCAGCCATGGCCAGTTGCTGCCCCGTCCACATCTGTTACAAAATCACACCTGTTATAAATACTTGCTTTTTGGAAGTTAAAAGAACATTTAGCTATGGATAAAAATAAAGAGGTAAATAGAATTGGGAAGAACACCCAAGACAACAAATTGTAAAAATTTTTAAAAAGGCCTTCTTAAAAGGGAAGAAAATTATAAGTCTAAGCCCCACTTCTAACTCAGCCTAACTAGAAGAACAACAAATTAAAGGGAAAACTATTCTTAGAGATACCCACTGCCATTCTTGCCTTCTGATTTAAATCAGAAATGATGATAAAATCCAGAGGCTTAAGATTCAAAACAACCGCATCGAGGGGACCTTGTTTGGACTGAGTTATGAACACATTTCCTATGTTCATAAAAAGAAAACAGTTGGATGAATTTACTGGATACTAGGTGATATTAAGGAATTACTTAGGAGGGAGGGAAAGTAAAACACAGTTTTGAAAAGGCTTTACCTAGTTTACATAACTGAGAAAATTTGGAAAATAGAATCCTGGCTCTACTCCAATCAACTGTGGGATTCTAAGAAAGTTTTGTGATCTCTTGTTTTTGGGGTGCCTCTGCGTAAACTGTGACTGTATGACAGACACTTTGGTGAGGAATCTTAAAAGGAAGCGTGGAGAATACCCAGGGCAGTGCCAGTTCACAGTGACTGTTTCCCCAACTGATCACAGAATCTCACGTTACTTTCTCTGCTAGGCCATACCGCCCCCCCTTCCAGCACATTAATCTTTATTTCTGCCTTCTTTTGTTTTGGCCTCACATATAGTATACAAGTATATTCAGTACGTGCTTTTTGATGGAAGACACAAAATCTATTAATTAAATAATTAAATACCATGTTCTGGGCACTGTTCTAGCTACTAGATATGTAATAGTGGGCAAACCAAAACTTTGCTTAGTTTCTGAGGAAGAAGATAGTGATGTGAATAAACTCACGGAATCCCAAGGAATAAAATGTTTATGGACATGGGAAGCTAATAATGACTTATACACTAGGATCAACATATGATCTCATTTCTATCACTCTGACTTCAGCCAAATTTAGGTATTGCTGTCCAACTGAACTGCAACAGGATTTCTAAGAGCATTCCATAAGAAATTATCAACTGCAGAGGAGTCAGAGGACTATCTCTCTGGGCCTCAGTTTCCTCTTCTATAAAACGAGGGGGCTGGTGCCGGGCCAGGTGACTCAATCCCAGCCTGATGGTTAGTTTCCTTATATCTGATATGCAGAGCTTTTTTCCTATATCATGGTAGCTAAAACTTCAAACAGAAGATTGTACACATGTGAGTCTAATTCTCCCAAGCATTGTTCACTTACATTTTGGTCACTCTTTAGTAAGATAAGCTAATCAGAAAATTAAAGCCAGGAGGAAGTTCAAGACAACCACCTTCACTACAAACCCCACCCATTCTATAGCTAACATTAACTTAGAGGGTGAGTAGTCCCAATAAAACCTTGACTGGGAGTGTGAACAGTAACATTTCTGAACTGACACTATGATGCCCAGCACAGAAGCTGACTAGCCCTTCTACACAAGGTGGGGCATCCTTCTCTTATACATACATATGTGTCCACACTAAGAGGTAGTGGAATATATATTTATATGTTCAACTAAGAGCTAGCAGGAAGCAGCACTCTCAAGTCAGCTGTTTCACTTGGGCACACGTGGTTCACTGTTGGATAATATAGACAACTCACCTTAGTCGTTCTTCTTCTTTTTTGCGAAGATTGAAGTCTCTTTGAACCACCTGAAGAACATGTTCTGTTTCATCATCAGTCAAACCAGACAGGTCCAGCTTCCTCCCCATGATTTAATATTCAACACAGAAGATAAAAAAAGACCTGGAAAACCAAAGGGAAAGACCACAAATTGAGACCAAGATACAAGCTCCGCATGGACAAAACCAGCCAATTTTGTTACTAAAATAAAATGCAGTATTTATATGGTTGTATAAGGTAGTATCTTTCTCTGCACTTATACTCGTCGATATTTACAGATGACTTGAACAAGGCCACAGAGAAAAAGAGAAGACAATTGATCATCTGCCAATTTTATTATCCCAACAACTAAGAAAAAAAATATTCTTTTCAACACAATGAACCATACATAAGACTTAGTATGGATTTCCATAAAATGCCAAAAGGCAATATCCAAAAATCCCAAATGTTTGTGGTTTGAAGTTCTGAATTCTATGCACTATATTCAATTGAAAAATTTTATAAATCATATTTTTAAGAAAGTAATATCCTATGTACACTATGAGGTATATTGCTTAAAGTTTTAATCACATAACTATGAAATATAAACTAAAAATTAATAGTATTTCTTCTGCAAAATTATATAGCAAAATAATTTTATTTAGCCATTCTTTTCACAGTAAAAAGGAAAATTTTGGAGAAACACGTTTAAGTAGTACATACCTAAAAATTATGAGAAACCCTATTTTAAAATAATATTTAATAAATGACTGCATCTAGTAATAAAATCAAATAATATCAGAAAATTCTCCACACTGAAGGCTATCATAAGTACGGCTATAAACATCCTCAACAAAATATTACCAAAACCAATCTAGTAAGATATTAAGAGTATTATATACCATGACAGAGCAGGGTTTAGTAAATTAAGATTAAACCAACATTTAAAAGTCAATCTGTATAATTCATCTAATAAAAGGGGGGAAATCATATGATTATTTTAATAGATATAGAAAAAGTATTTGACAAAATTTAATACCCATTTGTGGAAGAAATGCTCTGAAAACTAAAACTATAAGGAAACTTCCACAATCAGATAAAGGGCACTTGCAAAAATAAAAATATTAAGAACAAAAACCTAATACCATATTTAATGATGAAGACTGTACACTTTTCCCTCAGATCATGAAAAAGACAAAGATGTCCACTCTCACTACCTCTGGTCAATGCTGAATGTCCTTACTATAAAGCCACATTAATTAGGACAGAGTGGTATTGGCATATAGGTACCAAAATTACTGGACAAGGACTGCCATAACAAAGTACCACAGACCACAGCCTTGGTGATTTAAACAATAGAAAAAAAAATCATGGTTTTGGTGGCTACAAGTCTGAGATCAAGGTACCAGCAGGGTTTTTCAGGCCTCTATTCTTAGCTTGCAAATGGCCATCTGCTTTCTGTCTTCACATGGTCTTTCCTCTGTACCTGTCTGTGTCCAAATTTCCTCTTCTCATAGGACAGCAGTCATCGTGTTTTAGTGTTCCACCTAACAATCTCATTCTAACTCAACTGCCTCTTTAAAGACCTTATCTCCAAATACAGTCACAACCTGAGGTGATGGGAATTTGCACCTAAAATACAAATTTTGAGAGGGCACAACTCAGGCCATGACATTCCATCCTTTAGCCCTTAAAATTTACAACCTTCTCACATGCAAAATATATTTACCCCATCCTAACAGTCCCCAAAGTCTTAACCTATTCTAGCATCTAAAATCATAAAAATTAGGTATGGTGAAAATTAAGGTATGGTTTTTATCCTGAGCAACATTTCCCTCCAGTTGTAAGTCTGTGAAACCATACAACGAGGTTTCACTTCCCAAATGCAGTAGTGGTACAGGCATTAAATAAACATTTCCATTCCAAAAGGGAAAAATTAGAAAAAAGAAAGGAGTCACAGATCCCATACAGGTTTCATTTGAAGAGTTGAAAATTCATGTACTCTGTGAAGCAGCATTTCTGCCACACTTAGGTATATCCCTGAGATATAATATTGAAAATATGTACCAAGAGCTGAGCATTGGGATGAAGCATATGAAATGTCTAAGTATGGATCATTTGATCTATAAAAATAGCAATTGCACACGTTTCAACCTAACAGAAGAATATTAACAGTAATCAAGTTCAAAATAGCAAAAAATAAAATTAAACAAATGAAAGCTGGAAACAACTCCCCATAAATGTCAGGATGAATAAAAAGTGTGCATTCATACAATGGAGTATTCTACCACAGTGATAAAGAACATGCAGTAAGAACATTCCTCAACACGGGTAAGTTTTACAGCTTGATGTTGAGACAGAGAACCACGCCACAAGTACAGAATATATTCGCAACTTTTAAAGTGAAACCCAGTTGTGTTACAAAGAGATTGCACCAATTTATACTCCCTGTATCGACAATGGGACTGCCATTATCCTATTTCCTGCCAACATTTGACATAAAATTCTTGTTTGGGTGGGTATGAAATGCAGTTTTAATTTGCAGTTCTATAATTACCATTGAAATTAAGTATCAGTCTAAATGTTTATTTGCTATTTCTATTTCTTCTATATAATGCCTGCTTATATATTTTTGCTCATTTCCTATCAGTCTCTTGTCTTTTTCCTATTTTGTTGTAGAAGTTCTTTCTGTAGTCTAGATAGTAATTATTTGCACAGCATGCATACAGTATAACTTCTTTTACACAAAGGTCAAAAACATAGAAAAATCAAAGAATCTATTTTCCAGAAATAAATATGGCAAAACCATCAGGAGGAAATTGGTGCCTCTGAGCAGGGCAGAGATTTCAATGGGGATAATCCCAGAGAGGCTTCAAAGCTATGGGCAAAGTTCTATCTCATTGGAGAGACACTGTGTCACTGCTATTGATTTGTCTTATTATGAAAAGGTTCAAATTAGGTAAACTTTTGTCTGTGAAGTATCTTTCACAAGCATGTGAAGGTAAATAAACCGAAAACTGACATTTGGGGCAGGATGATTAAAAAAAAAATACACAAATCTAAACTAAATAAAAATAATACAATCCATATAAATCATAATTAAAGCAAATATTTGAATTGTTCAATGAATATGCTGATAGTTATAATAAAAGAGATGATTTTAATACATTTATCACTATTGATTAAACATCAATTATGTTCCAGATGCTTTAGTTTTTCATTTATACCTGTATATACTCCCCCAAAATTCCTACATGTAATCACCATCACCACCACTTGCAGATGAGAAAATTCAGGCTCACAGTTACACATTCTGTCTAAGACAATGACAACCTGGATTTGACTACATCTCGGTCTGTCTCAGAGTTCCTATCTTCTGTATATGCCTTCAGTAGGATGTCATGGAAAACTCTGGTTTTCAGGTTTAAAAAGTTCAGTTCCAGAGCTCCCCGACCCCTCTTTCTAGCATGTAATTAACTAAGAACAGGAAATTAACTAAGTAATTAACAGTAATTAATTAACAGTAATTAACTGAGAACAGGATATCCCAATACTTGGTTAATGTTTAAATGAAGGTTATCTGCCCTTTTTATTTCCAAGTAATAGCAATAAACCTAGAGAAGGGAATAGCATCAGTCCCCAAAAGTCTTTAGCTAACTGATTTAAATTCTTATGGCTACATAATGCAAACTAATCTCAAGATTTAACCAACAAATCACAACAGGAATTCCAAATACCTTTTTAAAATTTTCTTTTACTATTTAAAAAAAATTTTTACAAAAAAATTATTTTGTGATTTATCAAAAATAAATCTTCTATCCACTTTGCCCAAGTGATGTGGGGCTGAGAGCAGAAAGTACCCTACTGCACCTATTGGTCAGTAGAAGTAAGTTAGAGGTACCACTCCATCCATGGCTGTACAGGTAAGGGCAGAAGAAGCTTTTAAAGCTTCTGGCTTCCTGCTAAACAGAAAGAAACAGACTATAAGGCACAGTGAAAATGGAAGATGGAGTGTTACTTCTAACTTATTTCTACTGACCAACAGGTTACCGTAGGGTGCTTTCTGCTCTCAGCCCCACATCACTCGAGCAAAGTGGATAGAAGATTTATTTGTGCTAAATCACAAAATAGTATTTTTGTAAAAAAAATATTTTTTCAAAATAGTAAAAGATAATTTTAAAAAGGTATTAACACTGTGATTAAGTAAATGAGGTGAAAGCTATGTTTAGTATGTAAGCACTCCAATTTGTGCAAATAATCAACACACTGAATCCCACAAAGGCATAAATGTATTCATAATCTATGTATATATGACTTAATTTAAAAAAAGAGAGAGAAGAAGAAGTAACACTCCACCCTCAGGCTATACAGGTTAGGGCAGAAGCTTCCAAAGCTTCTGGCTTCTTGCTAAACAGAAAGAAACAGACTATAAGGCACAGTGAAAATACAGATGATTCTTCCTTTAAAACACCCCATTAAAGGTGATAATGACACTTTGTAGTTTCCCAGAAGGTGACATGTCTCTCCCTTTAACTTCACTTCACTGGTTTTGGTTTCCAAGAATTCTAAATGAGATTCTAACATGCTCAATGAGTGAAAGACTAAAATGGCAGCTTTGATCCTATCAAAACTAAAAAGAAAGGGTCAGGAATGGTTTTTGTAAAGAAGTAAATAAAGCAGTTCTAAATGGACAGGATAGAGAATAACAAGAAAACTTCCCGGGAAATGGTAAAATCTTCTTTCTTCTACAATAAACACAATCAGATTCCCTGCACCATAGCTGAAATAGCATCTTATTGCTGGAAGAGCCTCCCTGTCCTTGAGCCAGGTAGAGGTCATGTAGGTATGAGAAGTGCGCTGAGGATGAGAGAGTGCAAGCCTAGGAGAGGGAAGCAGTTTCCTAAAGACACACAGCCAGTTCAGGTGTTCCTGCCTTCCAGGCCCACACTCCTACTCCGATTTCTTTGACTTATATACAACTAAGATGGTAACAGAGAGGATATACTTTGAAGTTCAGTAATGAGAAAATTAATATAACTTCAACATTTAATTATATCACCGTTTCCCCAAAATGTGTTTCCAGTTTATTGTTCTCACAAGCCAGCTGAGAAGAAAGGTGCTCTGTAGGGAAATAAATTTGAAAA